GGGGCTCGCGCTGCCGGCGGGGTCTCGTCCGCCCCGTCCCTCCGCCCTCGGGCCGCCCCTCACCCGCCGCCGCGGTTCCTGCCAGGTGTCGGCAGCCGCCGCTCCGGGGCTTCACCGCCGCTCCCCGCCCCTGACCGACCAGAGGCGTGTGGGAGCCGGCGGCCCTCCCGCACCCCGTTACCGACGCGCCCCTTCCCTGTCCCCCCTCTCCCCGGGTCGTGTCTCCGTCCCGGTGCGGTGCCCTCCCGCCCTCTCTCCCCTCTGGGGGCCGCGGCCTCGGTGCGGGGCCGTCCAGTAGCCCGTGAGGCCGCCCCGCTTCGCACCGGGCCGGGTCCCATCCTCGGCAGCTCCCCTGGCTCCGGGTGCGGGGACAGAGCGGGCACACCTCGCTCCTCCGGTCCGTCCAGCCTGGAAACCCGCCGGTGTTCCCGTACCGGGGCCGCGGGGTTCGCTGTGCGGCGGGGCCGTGCTGTCCCGGGCGGCGCCGGGCTCCCTCGGGACTGACGCCGATTTACCGGCCCGTGGCCTGGGCTCTGTCGGTTGTTGCCTGTTGCTGCCAGGTGGAGCCTAAAATGTGGCGTTTCGTTGCGTCCGGGCAGCTTGATTTGGTTTCTGTGCCGAAACCTCGGTGTTCCGCTCGGGTTTTCTCCCTCCCGGTTGGCAAAGGCACGTTTGTTGCACCGGCAGCGTCCCCAGATCATGTTTAAGGGCTGATGGTGTTAGGGGTGGTCAGTTAGGGATGAAAATTAAGGACAAACAAACAGACTGTGCGAAGTTGGTTTGAAAACAGGCATCAGCAAGAACTAATCGAGTTGGTAGAAGGAGTCTTTGTGGTTTTTGTCTGTGTAGTTTTGCCTGTTCCGGGCATTTTGGGGGAGAGGAGAAGGAGAAAAAAATACTCAGGAGAAAAAAATACTCAGAAAAAATACGGAGAGAGGGAAAAGATCATGTTCATTTCTTAGGTGCAAGTTGGAGATGGAGTACTCCTTATTTACACTGGGATATGGGTATAGCTTGATCTATATTCCCAATTTTCTCCTATTTACGGATTTTGTTAAAGCTTGGTGGGTTTGCTGAGATTTTTGCCTACTTATTAGAAAACGTGTAACTGCGTGGACTTCCCCATTGCTGATTAAATTACAGAAACACTGTATTCCTTTTAAAGGCCTCTACTTAACATTAAAAGGTCAAGGACTGAGCAAACTTTGTTTTGTGTACACAGTAAACAAATTAACAAATGGAGCTTGGCATAGGGGTTTCCTTTCGTTTTCCAAACCCAAGTGCAGGCAGCTTTTCGTAGCACGCAGCGAATGTAACTCTCCTTTTTTCAGTTCTTTCACAGCATATTTTTAAAGTGCTGCATTTGTCTGGTGAGCATGGCTGTTTCTGTTTGAATCCTAACGAGAGAGGAGCTCCAGAAGTCCACGGAGCATCCTCCTTGGAGTTTGTTTGGGCTCTGGCTGGGCAGCCTCCAGCCTGTGCTGTGCCCTGCGTGTCCCCTGCCCCGTGCCCATGGCACATGGATGTGCCCGGTGCTGGTGGAGCGTCAGCCGCCCAGGGCAGATGCACCACCCCTTCACAGAGAGTTCATTCCAGCAGCATTCTTGTGATGGGCTCGCGCAGGCAGCGTCAGCATTTCTTTTATTAACCAGTTTCCCAGGACCTGACGCGTGTTTCTGGGGTTGGAGAATTTGCTTATTACAAGAGCCTAAAATCAGAGTTTTGTCCTCTGAGTGGATAGTTCAAATGAAGATTAGTAGCAAAATGAGGTGGGCAATAGCTGTGAATCTGTGAAGGATTGTTAACCAAGATTGCATTAGCTTATCTCGTGTGTTTTGTCTGAGTCCTGGTTTTGCATACAATGCCTAGTGATTCACCCAGCTTCCTGCTCCTGAAAAGGGGAGGGAGGATGAAATTTGAGGCAGCATTATCTCCAAATAAATACAGGGTTTTTTCTGGCACTTGAGGTTAATGGGAGCACCTGTGGCTGTCGGTGTGTTCTAAAATGAACAGAAAAGTTGGTGGTGTAGTTGCTATTTTTCAGTCATCCCAAATCTTTAGTTTCGCATGCAGTGTTCCACTGGCTTCCTTGCTTCCTTTTCAATGCTAAATACTTCTCTTTGCATCAGAGAGTGTGTGTTGCACGGGGAAGGTGGGTAAAGATCAAACACATGATTATGCAGACTAATCATGTGATATGTGAGAAGAGAAAGCTTGCTAGTGATTGATCTTTCTCATGCCTTTTTTTTTTTTTTCCTCCCCAAAGCTCCAATAAAATACAGGTGGTTTGTATGTGCTCAGAAAAAGTCAAACCACAGCTCCTTTCCCGCAGGTCTGTGGGTGTGACATCACTTTTGCTCTTACACTTCTCATGCTGCTCAGACTGAAGCAACTGGCACGACCACCTGGAATGACGGCATCGTGCTGTAGCATTTTCCAGGCTTTTTTCAGGGCTTGCTCTGTATTTTTAAAACAAGAAGTGCATGATATGTGAGTTGCAAAGGTAAAAAAAAAATCACAAATGTCAAAGACTGTAAAGAGCTTAGAATCCTAAGGAATGCTGGTTTATTTGATGTAACGCAGCATTGCAAAGTACATTGAAAGGCTTCTGAACTCTGCTGCAAATTCCACTTTTCACCCACACTAAGATGGTAATGATGAAAACTAGGAAAGTAGAACTTTGTATGATTAACTGGAACCATACTGGATATTATTGTTAAGCTATGCATGAAGCCAGAGGAATAGGAACAGAAAATACGTTATTTTCAGTGAATCAATTTGCATTGAATCAGTAACCTCAGTGTCTTGGGTGTGTGCTACCTCCTTGTTTTCCATGGTTTTTAATATTATACATAGTGGTTTTATATTTTAGAGGGTAGAGGATGCAAGTTTATTTTGCATGCCAAGCTTTCTGACTTTGCTGTTCAAGGTAGCTTCTTGAATTATACTATTCTTTAGTAATTTAGTTAATGTTGCTGTGTTGTTCTTCTCTATCTGGTGCATTCTTCATCAGATAGTGATTCCAAAAAGTTACAGTCTATAGGAGCTGCAGCTAAAGTACAGAAGCTGAGAAAGATATGACTGGGGAAAAAAAAGTCTCTTTTCCTCTCTGGTTTGCATACTTTTCTCACTCTTATTCTCTTTTCTGCCCTGAAAACCCAAAACTTAATTGTATTTTGTATTGTCCTCCCTTCTGAGGGTGCTACCTCTGTTTCAAGCAGTCTGAGAAGTTCACAGCTGAAACATTGATTTTTTTTCTGCTCACCCTCTGGCTTTTTGTGTGGCTGGGGATGTTCTAAACAGTGGAAAATGGGCACTCTTGGAAAAGGAGTGAGAGCAGCTGTAGTTATGAGTGCGTTGCTTCACTTGCTGCACGTATCTCAAGGTGGCATTCAAGCCTCAGTCTCATACAGTAACGTACAATGGAAGGGTTTCTGGTGTTCTTTTATTTTTTTATACACTGTTTGCTTTAAGCTCTTTTAAATTCATCCTGGCAGTACTTAACAAGGAAAATTTTGATCACAAGTTGCAGGTCAGGTGCCAAATGCTTGGGAGAGGATAGGAAAGTGAAGGGTAAATATTTTGTAAATCCGTGTAACTAATCTTGAACTTTGATAGGTCTGTTTTCTAGTAGTTTGAGATTTTAGCATGGTGAGTTGTGCCTTTGCTGTTCCTTTGCATGTTATCTTGAGAGAGTAAGATAGGTTGCTGGTTTTGTTTGGGTGTGTTAGAGATAAAAAGAACACATTTTAAAAAGGTATTTTGATTCTTGGACTG